TCATCAATCCAATAATATCAATAGCGTTCAAACGACATTCAAGCCGCATTCGTCGAAATGTTCAACCAACATAGCGTCTGATCCGAGAAAAAGCTATCAAGCCCTCGAGTCAACGTTATTCAAGTCAAAATCCGCCTTTCGAGAAGATCGAATAAACAAGTCCTCCAAGAAGTCTTCTTCAATCAAGTCAAGTCCAAACATTTAATATGGGAACAAGTCATTCGACCCCCAAATAATATTAGGAATATTCAAAATCAAGCCCAAAGTATCCAAGTCCAAATTCAGCTTCGAAGATCCAATCCAAATTAAAGAAGAGAAGAAATCAGAGGAGATATATAGAGATTGTACCCGCAATATCGTTTGATCGAAATAAATTCAAGTTGTACAAAAGTTTTATATATTTCCATAAATTTATTGTTACAGAGGGTTCCCAACATAGAGCCTCCAATAATCAACTCAATCCCTCTAGTCTATAATAATATGTGTGCGATAATGTGTAAAAACGTAATCATAATGTTCATATATTCGCCTTTTATATGAAATAGTTATCTTGTCCCACAAGAACTCTATTATCCTAATGAAACCAAATATACACATACTTTTCTTAAGCTAGATGGCCTTCTATATCTCTTAGATCCTTATGGCCTGATTCGATATAAAATATACTGACCAAATAATTTTTTTAACTCAAAATCTAACTCAAATTTTTAAATAACTAAATAATATCAGTTAATAATTCTCACACATCACATCAATTTAGTTCACTATTCATCCACTCATATAATTTAACTACACATCACTTACAATCACATATCTTCTACTTTTACACCATATCAAGTTTAGTCATTCTATTTTAAGTATTATTTAAATACATACTTACAGTTCCACTCAAACCAAACTCAACCATTTTTTTTTTCAAAATTAACTCACTTTGTCTAATAAATCTAATCAAATCTAAAATAACTCATGTCCAATCAAGCCCTTAGGATTCTCACAATCATACTTGTATTATCTTGACGAAAGGTCGCCTCTTTGGGCGAAAAGTTACCCTCTAGATCTAGATATGCTCATCTTGTACTAGCTCGCAGATCATTGACTCAGGTGGCCTAGGCCCCAGGTCAATATCTCGACCTCCAACCTTCAGGGACCCACCTCGACCTATCTGACCTATTGCCTTTAAGTCAAGCTAAGAGAGCTTCGATCCAGATTCGAAATATATAAGGGCTATGATTTATGATCGACCTCTCTATGCTCTATGAACTACTTCCCCCACTTTGACCACATAAGCTCTCACATGTGTGACCACATAAGCTCTCACATGTGTCGACAAATCTCCATAAAGAGGTTTGACGACCATTAGTTGCGTGTGCTCCCAAATGGTTGAGAAATCACACCACCATTTTGAAAAGAGCACTACAGTACCTGCCATTATGAACATTGAGTGTCATACCATCCATCCAGGAATTTGAAATCGAGACAAGAGATCTGATGGTTCCCAATCATCATCGGGCTTTTGGCATACTCACTGTTAGTCAATAACAAATCCGACAAATTAACAAATCCTGCACACAAGTATTGGCATCAATCTCAATGCTTAAAGGTTTTGTGATGCATGCAAATGCTAAAAAGGATTAAGGCATGGTTGTAATTAATCACTGCTAGTAATTAAACGTTCATTACGCTTCCAATAAGCACACTCACCTCTTAAATATTTATTACTTAGGCATAATATTTTTCTAACAGTCTAAGATTTAACAATGCAAATATTTCCACAATTATGCATTCTGAACTTAGAAACGTAAATTATTAGGCTATATGCTGAAAAGAGAATTAAGAAAAATATATAAATAAACGTTAATAACTATATCTGATTGTTTGATTTTGCTTTCCTGTTAATGGGACCGTCAACTTTAAGAAATTGTCTCATACCAATTTTTACATAGGAAAGAAAAGGCGATTAGAAATACTGCAATATTCTTTTATTGAGGTGACTCCAACACACAAAGCCATGGTTTTTATTTGTTTTCCAAAATATTAATTCAAGTGACACTACTCTATTAATTGTGCTCGAGTACTTATCTTTGGTTCATTAACAAATTGAATAGGATAGCATTAGCTCCATCTTCTGTACTTACAGTAGTGTAGTATATGTAAAATAATTTGAGAAAACATTATTTGAGTATGCTATTTTAAGATTCACTAGAAAAGTGGACACTTTGTTTCATTTTTCTAACAAAAGAACCTAGTTTCACCATTTTTTTTTCATTTTATTATATTTTTCCATTGGTTCTTTTTTCATTTTTTTTTTTAGAAACAACTACAGACATATTGTGCACATGGGATGCATAGGATTAGAATGATTAACAAGGGGCACAGCATAGGTCTTGAAAAAAGCTAACATATCTTTCAAAGACATGGTGATTGTCTTGTTGAAAAAGATGGTTAGCCCATTTAGAGCAAAAGAAAAAGAAAAAGAAAAAGAAAAGTTTTTATTGATTTCCTAGCACTCTCTCTCTATCCCTCTTTTCTTGTCATTTTCATTTGGAAGCTTGCAGTGTCATTATCATAAATATGCATTTCTTTTCCCAAATTTCTAGCCTCATTTCTCTATTAACTCAGCAAACTTCTAAATGGAACCTTCGTTTTTAGAGATTGAGGACAAATATTTAATTAGTTGCAATTAAGATTGTAATAGAACAAGATTTTCTTTCTAATTTGATACTTTTGAACTACATTTGTGGGATTCCTGTGACAGGTTTATTTGTGGGATCATAAATATGGTTTACTTCACTTATTTTAGGGCAAAAAAATATTTCCTTAGTCAATTATTTTCTGACCAGGTGCTGCATGAATAGCTCTTATATAACCAATATTTATCAATTCTCCTCTTTTACGATATCCCATTTGATTTTCAAATTGATTTGATATGATAACCACTTGCTCAATGATGCTGCAGCCAAGCGAAATTATTTATTAATATTAAATAAGTAAATACCTCTTTTGCAGGCTTTGATTTATTTATTTCTTTGCCCAGCTTTGCTAAAATCTTTGTTAAGGTAGTGGGTGTTTTGTGACGCATTGACAACTCCCTTAATTATGAAATTCATATGTGAGTGTGTCCCCATTTTGGGGCTGTCAAATGAATATATGTTAATTTGTTTAGTTATGATATTACCTATCAGCTCCACCAAACCTCATTTGGTGGTATCATGATTAGGTTAAAATCCAACATTTCGAGATATCTATATCTATATCTATATAATAAGAATAATCATTTATTAAAAATAGTAATTAAAATTTTTTAGAGCATTAATGTTTATTTTTTTTTTTTTTTTCAAAACGATAGAGATCTTATATATAAACATACAAAAGTATAGCCACCAGCTGAATACAAGAATACAAGCAACCAACAGCTGAAAAAGTGGGAGGACAATCAAAAGACCGCTTAGAGCCGACCCCAACAGGGTAATACTCAATAACACACTAAAACACTAACACACAGAAAAACTACTAAACTAAAAGACCTCAACAGGGTAATACCCGAGTGTCGGATCCCAACAGGATAATAAGTTGACACTCGGGCGCACAGGAGCCAACGGCCCAAACCAAAAACATACGTCCTAAGCAACACAAACACAATAAAAAGAAAATTAAAACATCCTATTCGATCAAAAAACTAGCAAAAGCCCTTCCCCAGCAGGTAACCAATCCCAACAGGCGCCAGTGAACTAAAGTCAAACATCCCACAGCATGACCCGAAATCCAAAACACAGCTCCCACCACTGCCTAATGCCTAGCAAGGACGAGTCCCGGACCGCGAACCACTCCAAGGATGAAGCCGACCTATAGCCAGAGGGACATCAATCAGACCCCACACACTAGTTGCCCGAGATCGGATCAACATACGTATGTCTCCACAAGCTCCAATCAATGACCTCAGCCATGATTATTTTGTATATTATTGACAACCATGATTATTTTGTTATCATTTTTTTTTTATTTTTTTTATAATGAAATCTTGTAAAATATATTTTCATTGGAGAGTTTGCTAAATAAACTATAAATTCTTATAATGCAAATTAGAAAATCTTGATTATATAAGAGATTGAGTTTTTGGCATTTGCTAAATCAAGGTTGTTTAATTAGTATAAAAAATTAAATTCTAAAAAAACATGTGTGTACATATTGTAAAATATTTATACCCTATTTAATTTAAAATTTATTTACATATTTTAAATTGATTATATAAATAAATAATACTAATGTGCATTAAATATTTTTCATTACATAGAATAAAAAGAAAAAGAAGAAGTACAACTTCAATAACATTTATAAATAATAATAATAAAAATAATAATTAAGTATTATATGGTGAACAAGAATAAGTAAACGATTATTTCCTTTTATATCAATAAATAAATTTATATACTAAAATTAAATTTACATTAGCATAAATTTGTTAGTGAGATAAGCTAGCCCTAACATGCGCATATTCAATGTTCTGGCTAAAGAAAAAGAGGTGGAAAATATATTATAACTCTATTATGTTTTAGACTTAACACTGATTAAAAAATGCGAAAAATAAATGATAATCCTGTTACTTTTTAGACTTAAACGGATAGAGCCTTTGAAAACAACTCATTTGATATCTCTCCAGTGCATCGCACATCGCACGGGGTACGGACTAGTACAGGACTAAAACAACGGTGAAAATCGATTAAAATCGAATATGATTCATATCCAATTGTAGCCTATTGCTCAATTGATATTATATACTTCTTTTAGAGAAAACACACACACAAAAATATTGTCTTTAGCCTCACACCGACAGCAAAGGCCCATTACCTTTGATTTCTCGAACACTGCTTCTCAGGACAAAGGTATAGTATTGATTAAGCTAGCCATCACTAAATCCAATTATTTAAATTAACCATAAAAAATTTGAAACCAAAGTTTTTTTTTATTATCATAAACAAATGCAACTCCTTTTTTTTCAGCTTCTTTTACATAATTATTTCACTCTCGCACAATTAAAGATGATTTCTTAATAAAAGGATGGATGAGAATGTATGTGTGTCTTCTACTCCCATGACAAGGAAGCTTGCTCAATAAGAATCTTATAATTAGTGCTTCATAAGAGGACAAAAAAAATGCTACTTGAGTTTCTTCATGGGAAAAACCTTAAAGTATGTGCATGTGTGTGTTTTTTTGGTTCAACATGAAGACAATGATATTGCATAAAGAGTACTACTGAAGCTTCATTGAAATTCTTCACTATCTGTTTTTCTGGTAATTACTGCTTGGGACTTTCTTGTTTTTATTTCATCTTTATTTTTTTTCATTAAATTTACCTTAATTAGATAAATTGGTAGTTATAGTTGGATTTTGTTTATCATCCAGGAAAATTGCAATATGTAGTGGGAAAAAATCGTCATTCTTCACATTGTTTTTTATTCCATCTTTTTACCTAAATTTCATAAATATTGTGGACAGTCTCTATCTGGATGAGGTGACTAGTAAAAAATTTTATCCTAATTCTAATGCACATTGGCTGTTTTTGGTTCCTTTTTTTCTGCTTTTAAGTTGAGGAGATAAGGTCCATGTACTTTCTGGATATCACTACAAATATGTTTGCATCAATTTCAATTGGAATATAATGGGGTCAAAAATTAAAAAATAAAAAATGAAATAAAACTTGTGCTATTAATCTATTCCAAAGGCAGACCTTTTAAATTACATTTGTATTTTCTAAAACTTCAAATCAATTCATTCAACTGATACTTGAGGTATTGTATTGCCTCTGTTGTTGCAAGAAAAAGCTACTTACACAAATAATTTGTAAGGCGACACGGTTAGCATGAACGAGTTTAATCCGGGCAGATCAAAACCATGGAACATTTACAGCAGCTCAAATTCGGGCCCCACTGAAGCGGATTATGTTAGCAAGGAAGGTTCGTGGAAGAGTTTTGGGTCGTCTATTAACGCCATTTATTTCGGGTTTGTGGCCACGGCTATCTTGATCTCCATGTTTCTCATCATGGCCATATTCGAGCATTTGTTTAGACCGAATGAAGAAGAATCTGGTGAAATGGAATCCAGGCAAATGCACAAACTCGGGACTCCACAAATAGTGAGTTTTTATTTTTTATTTTTCATTCATTCTTTGGAATTTTTATGCATTATTTCTTGTACACCTGAGTTTTTGCCAAGGGTGAATATTATGGTCATCTACTTAACTTTACAAATGTGTTTTAATAAGTCTGTTTTTATGAAGTTCTTTTTATTTTCCAAAGTAAGAAACATAATCTCACCACCTTCAATTCATTAGTCTAGCTATGTGTTCCATTGTGCTGCCAAGTTTCCTGAAACAGAAGAAAAAATCAAGTTTAAGTTGACATCATCTTATTTATTTAAAGAAAAATAATTATTACAGAAACTAAACTTGAGGTTTGAGTTATTATAATTTCATACACATAGTTAAGAATCTTTTAGTTTCAAATTAAATCTGTTACAAATGAATTTCAATATGTGTCTAAACATAGATGCAAGTCATTCCATAAAATCCTTTGCCTAAATTGAAAACCTTGGAGCTTAATTAGGGGTAGTTTTGGTAAGTCAAACGAAATTTGGGGATGCGTTAACTACTTTGTTGTGTGGGCACAGGCACAAACGTCATATGCGTCCGACTTCTCAGTGGTGATGCCAGGTCAACAGTACCCTACCTTCATAGCTCAACCTGCACCTCTGCCCTGTCATAGAGAAGGAGTTTGTTGGCCCTCTCATTCGCACCAACATATTTTGTTCAAACATTAATTGTTGCAACAAAACTGGAATACATATTACACAATTGGAAGCATACCCGTGCTTCTCGTGTTTTGCATGCGCCAAAACCAAGTTAATGATGTGCTTAGATGATCGCAATGCTTTGGATTTGAATTTTCTTGCGACGCATACAAGTCTTGATAAGTCTAAATAAAAGTAGCTAAAATCATTCAAATGCAAAGAGACCACGTCTCTGCTTGTGTCTCAATTGGACTTAAAGATAAACTGAATCTTTTTTCTTACTGCCACATCAAGTCAATCAATCGACTTCCATTTGCATTGGAGATTTTTAAGTTGTTTCTGCATATCCAATTTTATGCCCGAGAGCTACCGTCCTCCATCCCTCAATTGGGAATAAATAAGGCCCGTGTCAATCGAACTGAAGGCATTCACATTCATTTCCGTTCATTTAACCACAATTTACACTTTATCTCATCCACATCATCTTTCTACTAAATATCTCTCCATTTAAACACTAACCCACATTGGTTATTTCATTTAAATGCCAACATATGGGACACATTTCCACTCATTCAATATTATTTTTATATTCTATTCTTCATAAAAATAAATGTATTTTTTTTAATTAGAATACTTAGTTTTAAATGCTGAAAAAAATAATATTATTAGAGATCAAATGAAAAATAGTAGAACAAAATAATAATAATAATAATAATAATAATAATAATAAATACGTGGTGTAGTTATAGGAACTTGAAATTTTTTGAAAATTTTTCTATTATTTGGATCCATTTTTCTAAGCAAATGAGCAGTTGCTAAATTTTTTGATATGTATTTATAGGTATAAAAATAAAGAGAGGATAGAAAATGTAAATCATTAATACATATTGGGTAGTGTGATATAAATAAAATTTAAATTTATCAATATTGGAAAGTGTGATCATATTGATAAAAAAAATGAGTTAATATAAAAAAGGAAAATAGTATAAAAAAAAAAAAAGAAAAATTCAACTGCTTGAACGCAAAAGAGGGGGCCCAGTGTTAATGAAAAAAATTCGATGCTACATGTGGGAGCACTGCCCCCACATGCTTTTTCACCCTTGATCTAATACACTCCAACATGGTGTGTGTGTGTGTGTGTGAATGTATGTAGATCAATGGTGAGAAGTATGTAGGGGCAGTATCCCCACACGTAACATTGAATTTGCCTTGTTAATGGATGCGTTGCATCCCTATTAATGGCCCCTTTGCGATTTAAACGGGCAAAAAGAAGCCCGATGCGGATGCCTAATAGGATAAAGTTTGTTAGATTAGATAATAATGATAATAAACTCGAGCGTCTTATGTATGAAAAACAAAAGTGTAACTTTATTATGAATTCAAGTATGATGTAAAAAATATATTTTCAAGTACCAAAATGTGTCCGCCTTTTAATCATTAGTCAGATTATTAACAGAACTATATATATATATATATATATATATATATATATATATATCAAAATAAATACATAACACTACCAAAAAACCGGTTACATTCCAATGGCAATTTTCCGTTGGAATAGCTATTCCAAAGGGTAGTCCTACGGATAAAAATCTGTGGAAAAAAATAGTCGTCGGAATAGCTAAAATTCCACGGAAAATCCTATAGAAATAAATTCCTACAGTTGTTCCAACAGAAAATATCAATTGGAATTCCTCAACTATTGAAATACAGTCCAACACTTATTCCGTCGCTCATTCATATGGTTAATAGGCCGTTGGAATTGGTTACAACGGCCATTCCAATGGGCAGACATATTGGAATGTCCCAATTGTTCTTCCTACGATTGTAAAAGAAATGTGGCAGAATTTCAACTGAAAAATATTGTTGGAATCCATAGGAATTTGTGCTTAATAAAATCAAACATCCCTAAATTATGTATTCGAATAAAAACAATATAAAAAACTGATTAACCATCGTCTAATTCTCTCGCCCCTTTTTTCTCTCTTGCTCGCCATCTGCAAATCGCCGGTTTGTGCCTCTTTCAGAGGTCGTTCGGGTTAGCCGGAGGATGGCTCTCCTGCGGAGCATCCTTAATCAGCGGCGCTCCCGTTCTGCGATTCCAGCCAAAGGGGTGGGCTAGGGTTTCGGCAGATCTTCTTTTCTGTGCGATGCCGCCGGCGTCCTGTGGTCCGGGGTTCGGGGGGTGCGTCGTCAACCTTTGGATGTGGCTTGGTTGCTTGTTCCAACTCAGGTATGGTCGATTTCTTCTTTCCTGGCCTTGAAGTCTGCCTCGTTTCGATTTTCCTGTTGCTCTCGTTTCGGTACTGTGGGGTTGTGGCGGGGTTCGATTTTGTGCGCTGGATTGGGAGATTATCGATTGTTGGGTTGTGTTGTTGTGATTGGGCCGGGACGCCATTCGAGCCCTTCCTCTTTTTTGCTCTTTCTAATCAAGAGGGATGCCGACCGTTTCGAATATTGGCTAGTGGTGATAGGCAATTTCGAGATGGTATCGGATTTGGCTAGTGGTGTTAGCCGATGGGGGTCGATTGTAGTTTCTTGCAGTAGAAGAGCGGGTCGGTTTTTCTTAGCTTGTTTTGTGGCTTGGGTATTCGTCTTGCTAGGCTTTAGGTAGTGGCGGGCGGAGTGCCTATGCTGCTGCGGATCTTTTCATGAAATCGGCCTTGTCTGCGGTTCAATCTCGGACGTATCTGCTGAAGGAGGGTTGTGTGTTTTGTTTGTTAGTTAGTGTGTCGTTTAGGTGGTTTCTTTGTGTGTCTTGTCTGTTGTTGTCTAGGATTGGTGTTTTTGGTTTGGTCCAGTTGGCCCCTGTAAGCCCGAGTATCAACTTATTATCCTGTTGGGATCGGATGCTTGGGTATTATCCTGGTGAGATATTTTTAGTTGTTTCTGTTTGTTTGTGTAATTGGTAGTGGTGTTGTTGCGAGTGTTTTTATTCTAGCTTTGCTAGCGGGATTCTAGGCGATCTTCTGATTTGTCCTTTCACTTTTTCAGCTGTTGGCTGCTGTGTGTTCGCACGTTTGTGCATTTGGATTTATAATATCATCTATCGTTTTGGGAAAAAAAAAAAAGAATAAAAAGATATGGTAACCAATGAAAAAAAAAGATATATTAACCTATAAAAAAATGATAGTTGTACACAAAAGCAAACCCCAAATCATGGATAAATCATCTCCAAAACATGTCATATTCATCTCCAAATTCAGTGACCTAATAAACATCATTCTAATATCAAAACTATTATCATATTCAGTAACTTGATAACCATTCTCCAAAACATGTCTAAAATTTACGACAAATGCTAATACATAAAATGAAAAACTCCAAAATGGCGTAATCATCACCAAATTCCTCCTCAGCCCTACAATCATCGTCATGATTATTGGGAGGCACTGTTGAAGAAGACACATTATGATTAGTGTTGTGAAGTTTCTCGATTAAGTTGCGAAGTGAGGACAATTCACTCTCTAATTGCATGTTTTGCTGCTCCAATGCACTCATACAGTCGTTAAGCTTCTGGACGTCAATCACACAAGAACCTGAACATCTAGAGCTATAAAAGGGCATCTCGGACCCAAATCCATAAGCTAACCTTTTCTTGTTACAACCTCCATTTGCTTCATAAAAGCATGTTGAGTCATCAGTGTTTGTAATGCCTTGTGAAACTTTCAACGTCTTTAATTTTCCATAAGCATCCTGCATATGAAATAAAAAAATTATAGAATATAAGTCACACTTTTCAGGATAACAAGTTTGCAAGACTTTACCAAAGCCATATTTCAAGCAATAAAAAAACTATAAATAATGTAAACTTGCAGTCGGGCTTACATATGTTTTCTGCACTTCAGGAGGAATCCACTTTCTCGTTTTTTCGTCATAATTGATCTTAAGAAAAACTTCCGGAATACTTACACTTCGTCCCAATTCTTTTCCCTTAAAAAAGAATGAACGATTTTAATCCAGTTAGATCAAAACCATGGAACATGTACAACAGCTCGAATGTGGCGGATTATGTGATCAAGGAAGTTTGGTGGAGGAGTTTTGGGTCTTCTATGAATGCCATTTCTTTTGGGTTTGTGACCATGGCTATCTTGATCTCCATGTTTCTCATCATGGCCATATTCGAGCGTTTGTTTAGACCCATTGATGAAGAATCTGGTGGAATGGAATCCAGCCAAATGCACAAACTTGGGACTCCAGAAATAGTGAGTTTTTGTTTTTATTATTTCGTTTTCATTCTTTCTTTGGAACTTTTATGCATTATTTCTTGTACATTGAGTTTTTGCCATGGGTAAATATTATGGTCATGTACTTAACAAGTATGTTTTAATAAGTGTGTTTTTGAGAAGTTCTTTTTATCTTCCTCAAAAAAAATAGGAAAATAATCTCACTACCTTCATTTTGTTCTATGTGTTCCATTGTGCTGCCAAGTTTCCTAAAACAGAAGGAAAAACAAATTTAAGTTGATATCATCTTATTTATTTGAACAAAAAAATTATTATAGAAACTAAACTTTAGGTTTGAGTCATTATGATTTCATACACATAGTTAAGAAATTTTTAGTTTCAAATTAAATCTATTGTACAAATGAATTTCAATATGTGTCTGAACATAGATGCAAGTCATTCCATAAAATCCTCTGCCTAAATTGAAAACTTTGGAGCTTAATTAGGGGTAGTTTTCATAAGTCAAACGAAATTTGCGGAATTTGCGGATGCATTAACTACTTTATTGTGTGGGCACAGATAGAAATGTCATATGCGTCCGACTTCTCGGTGGTGATGCCAGGTCAACAGTACCCTACCTTCATAGCTTAGCCTGCACCTCTGCCATGTCATAAAGAAGGAGTTTGTTGGACCTCTCATTCTCACCAACATATATTGTTCAAACCTTAATGATGTGCTTAGATAATCCCAATGCTTAGATATTACAATTGGAAGCATACCCGTGCTTCTCATGTTTTGCATGCACCAAAACCAAGTTAATGATGTGCTTAGGTAATCCCAATGCTTTGGATCTAAATTTTCTTACGACGCATAGTCTTGATAAGTCTAAATAAAAGTAGCTAAAATCATTGAAATGCAAAGAGACCACGTCTCTTCTTGTGTTTCGATTGGACTTCAAGGTAAATTGAATCTTTTTTCTTACTGCCACATCAAGTCAACCAATCAACTTTCATTTGCATTGGAGAGCATTTATTTTTTAACGTTAAGTCTGTTAGAGTAGAATACCCGACGTTCTAATCTGATTGGATCTTTTTCTACTTTTAAAGACAATTTATTGGAAATTATATTATTTTGAGGCATAGTTTTATCTTATGTATTTGCATTTATCCTATATTCTCATCGGATGAGAATGTTGCATTCCATCAACATTAGCATGTGGACGCGAATGCATATATGCGGGTGCTTGTTGGAGAACAATTTCATTGAACATGGTCCGATGAAAATTCTTAACTGGAAGTATTAACTGTCGAATAAGAATTTTCATATTGCAATAGTACATGATTGATCCTCTGACTTGAGGCACGATAGTAATCTTGTGCATATTGTGCTTTACTTTGATTTATCATTTGATTGCTGGACAATCATAAAAAAGATATTTTGGGTAATGTATTAATATGTATGAAGGTTTATCTGTGGCCAACAAAGAATTCGACACTTACGTGGATAAGTGAATTTCCTATGTTTTTCATAGTTTATGATTCAAAGACCTTGGCCAAAGCAGGATGAATATGGATTCATAAACGAATTACTAAACTTGAAATGAAATCATAGTTATTAAATCAATTGGGTTTCGACTTATAAATCCATGCCCAAGATTTAATCGGGAAATTTGTTGTCGAAAGGATTTTACATGTATGCACTTGCAATTGAAAAGGTTTACTCGCTATTTCACTTAACACTAGATAATCATGCTACTTGCCAGGTGTTCTCATGATTTGTGGGTTCTTGAAAATTAAGGAGTTAATTTCAAGAATATAAATTAATTGAATTAATTTAAATTACAAACGAGTTGTAAACCCACTACTAGTGTTAATCGTAAACCTAAAAGGGTCACACCAAATTTTGGATGATGACTATTTTGAAATTGGTAATTTCAATAGTTGGATTTATTGACAAGACTTAATTAAATAATTTGATTATTTAATTAAATCTAATTTTGATTAGAAGTCAATTAAAGGAATATAATAAATTAATCAATTGGATTGATTAATTAGGCTTTGGATATTAATTAAGTAATTTGGAATTGCTAAATTAATAGTTGGATTTTAAAGTTAGACTTTAAAATTCAAATCCAAATATTAATATGATTATATATTAAAAGCCTACATAAAAGAGGAGATTTTATTTTTATGGGAAATAAGATTTTGACTAATTAATTTTAAAAGCTAGTTTCATAAATTACATGTCATTATCTTTGATTAATCTTTAATTAAGTTTAAAGATTAAATAAATAAATAATAATTATAATTATTTAATATGTTAGATGTGAGTTGTTAACCATCTCAAATAATAAACATTTAATCATATTAATTAATAATAGTGGGTGAAAAATTGTCAACCCATTATTGTCACTATTTGAAGAAAATTAAAGGTAATTTTCAAAGTTCTCTACAAATCAAAATTCGTATTTTTACGTAATTTTAAAAGATGCCGATCATTTTATTCACTATATGTACCTACGGATTAAGTATTTATTTGATAAATGATAATTATATTGTATAATTTCCGTTGCGATTTTAATTCGTACGGTATAGCGAACCCAACAAAGTCTACTTTGTACATGACGTGTAAATATGTTTGAATAGACCTAAACTAATATGGATGTTTTAAGCTGTCTCTGCATAGCCAAATTTATGCCTGAGAGCTACTGTCCTGCATCCCTCAATTGGGAATAAACAAAGGCCAGCGTCAATCGAACTGAAGGCATCCACATCTATTTCTGTTTATTTAATCACAATTTACACTTTATCTCATCTACATCATGTCCACATCATCTTTCCACTAAACATCTTTCCATTTAAACACACAACCACATTGGTTATTTCTTTAAATGCCAACATATGAGACATATTTCCCACTTATTCAATATTATATTTATATTTACTCTTAATAAAAATAAATATATTATTTTAGTTAGAATATTTAATTTTAAATACTGAAAAGAAATAACATTATTAGAGATTACAAATGAAAAATAGTAGAACAAAAAAAAATTGTGGTGTATTTATAGGAACTTTGAAAATTTTTGAAAACTTTCATATTATTCGAATCCATTTTTCTATGCAAATGAGCAGTTGCTAAATGTTTTGGTTTTGTAGAACCGTGGTGTATTTATAGGCATAAAATAATGAGAGGATAGAAAATGTAAATCATTAATACATATTGGGTAGTGTGATATAGATAAATGAATTTATCAATATGGGAAAGTGTGATTTAGATAAAAACTGAATTAATATAAAAAGGGAAAATAGTAAAAATAAAGAATTAATTTCAACCTAAACAAAAAAAGAAAAGAAAAGAAAAAAAATTCAGCTGCTTTAATGCAAAAGAGGGGGCTCACTGTTAATAGGACAAATTCGATGCTATATGTGGGGGCACTGACCCCACATGCTTTTTCACCATTGATCTACACACTTCGACAAGGGTGAAAAAGCATGTAGGGGCAGTACCGCCGCATGTAGCATCAAATTTGCCTTGTTAATGGAGAACTTGAAGAAGAAGAAGAAGAAGAAGAAGAAGAAGAAGAAGAGAATGGTTCGAAGTTCCTGCGCATAGAAGAAGAAGAACTTGAAGAACCAGTGTGTAAGGTGGGTAAGGTGAACCAGACCTGGCAGGTCGAGCACCGCACTGATCCTCTGTGCAATAATCTTTGAGAAAATTTGATAAGTGGTGTTGCAACAAAATTGACTGAAAGATAAGATTATAAGAATGCAAAATTTTACAAATTTTGTGAGATATGTGTAAATTTCCCAAATAAAAAAGTTGAACATATTGGGCTTTCGCGCATAATTAATCAATTAAATCATGTGCGTGGGCTTTAAAAAATTCATGTGATCATGAGGCCTCATTTCATGGGCCGAAGTATTTCTGTATTAGCCCAAGTTCTCATTTCTCAATTCTCAGTCACCTGATTATCTCGACAGTTTCATTGACAACTACGAAAGGCGAACAGAATATAACAGTCCATCTAATTGTAAATCTTTCAATTTTCGTCTTCGATCCACTTCACACACTCGCTCGCTTTTCTTCCCTTGATCTGTATTCTGGTGAATCTGCAGGTAATAAAAATGTCAGTTTTCGAGCTTCGCGTGATTTGATCTGTTTATTCTTCATGTTGATTTTCGTTTACTTCTTAGTTGCCTTTCTCTCACCTTGTTTTATGTTTTTTGTTCTTGAAGACGTCATTTTGTAAGCTGTGTAAATTTCTAAAACTTGATTCATCTGACAAATGCCAGGACATTATTTTTGAAAGGAATGTTAGTGCTTGAGATCTGGATCTAACTCTTGAACAAGAATTTATATTGTGTTTTTCTGTGTATCATTTATATATTTTTTGTGGAGTTTTTGTTATTTTAATTGTGCGAGATTGATGATCGTGTGCAGCATCTAGGCGGTTCAATTTCTAAATTTCTTGATCGGTTTGTGCTGGTGGAATTTGAGAGGAACAAGATGGTAATTCTCTTTTTCTTCCCCCAATTTTCTTTTATTCATTCACGGTATTTTTTAGTTTTTTAATTATTTCTATTTTAGTGCTTTTGATGGTGATCTTGATTCTTTGTTATCTGCAATGCAGGTGGTGCTCGCAGCTTCCATAATAAGTAAATCTGGCAAAGGTGAGCTCTGGATGCTTTTAACTCGAGCTTTGAACACCTGCGTCCTCTTTTCGTTTCTTTTATTGTTCTTGGATATGATGAGGTGCTCAAGATGAATCTTTTCAACCTAAATGAATTTTCATGCAAGATGCTTTCTTCACTAGTTGGCATATAATTGACACAGTCAGTATCAAAAGCCAAATGTCCTTTAGTTGTCATATAATATGAAAGTAGAGATCAGCTAAGTTTCTAAATGCTGAGAAAAGTTGGGTTGGTGTGCTTAGAAAAATGGATATATGTATGGAGTTATAGTATTTGATTAACAAGCATAAGGCATGGAGTTCGAAATTATGCGTACAACTGTCTTCCACCCCACATGGTTTAGGGTGAGGCTATGCCGATGCAATAGATCTTTCCTTATTCTACGTGTAGAAGTGGATTAGGATTTTAGGCCTGTGATAAGTGCTATCAGAGCTTTAATCACTTTGTTTGGACAGCAGTCATGGACAATATCTTTGTGGTTGATATAAGTTTTGCATCCCTAAGGTGATGTGGGCCCGTTATATGTAGCCAGGTAGTGGCAAGATAATTGTGTGGATGACCATTCATGTTTGGCACTCATAAACAGCACCATCTTGTAGGATTGACATAAATAACACGTTCGCTTCCATGTACTCTTACTTTAACAGTCTTGTGGCCTTTTTGTTTCCAAGCAAAGAAGAGGAATGAATTACTCAAAGGTTTCTTTGAGGGCTGAGTTTGTATCATTCATTTAACTTTGTTAAATTATGAATCACTCGTCCAGATGTTGATACCGGTGCTATATGTAATGTATTGCTCATGTAGTTGCTGGTTTCAGGGTACATTATTATTTTTGGATTTTTCTCATATCTATGTTTAATATCAAGAACAATGTATGTTAATGTTATTGCATCATGTGAAGGTATGTCATTAGCGTAAATTTATTAGTTTAACCAGTATTTTGTTCATGCAATGTATGAAGCCATAATAAATTGTAATTTGTATAAATGTAATAATAAAATATTTGAAATTACAATCATGAAAGTATTATTAGTCTTCTTCGCCATTATCTGTTTACTTATTAAGTAGGAACACAATTTTCTTTTTCTGGTGATTTTACATCATTACCTTCTGTCTTCATTTGTTGGATCTCCACAGTATACTTCTCTAAATCTTTACCCGTGTTTCTTTGCAGCACTTGTTTCGAGGCAGTTTGTTGACATGTCCCGTATACGCATTGAGGGCTACCTTGCAGCTTTTCCCAAATTGGTTGGAACAGGGAAACAACATACTTACATTGAGACAGAAAATGTCCGTTATGTGTATCAGCCAATAGAGTCCCTCTACCTCCTCCTTGTAACAAATAAGCAGAGCAACATTCTTGAGGATTTGGAGACATTGAGACTTCTCTCAAAACTTGTATCCTTATATATTTGCGATGAACTATTTATTACTTTAAAGATATTGGTGCTTTTTTGTGCTCACACTTTCTAGATCACACGAGTTCTTCGAGATCTTTTTCTTGTTGTTTTCCCTTTACATATGACTGTGAACTATCAGTTTTTTAGCATCTATAAGTATGTTTTCAAATAGCAACAATCTTCCACTTTCTCCATTTACCAACAGAATACATTTGTCTTCCTGATGCATTTATCTGCATGCAGACACATTTGGCAAAACATCATATGAAACTCCTCTCTGCAAATACCCAGTCACTGAACAAAAACAGTCTATAGTTTCTCATATTTGCTATTTATGAGTTGTTGTTAGGTTTCTTTAACCCTCTTAGGTGCCTGAGTACTCTTATTCCCTGGATGAAGAAGGCATTGGCAAGACAGCTTTCGAAATCCTTTTTGCTTTCGATGAAGTTATATCACTTGGACACAAAGAAAGTGTCACAGTTGCACAAGTCAAACAGTACTGTGAAATGGAAAGTCATGAAGAAAAATTGCACAAGTTGGTCTTACAAAGCAAGATCAATGAAACCAAGGACGTCATGAAGCGCAAGGCTAGTGAGATTGATAAAAGCAAGGTACTTGTTTTGGGTCTCAAGTTTGATGATTAAATTCTCGCACCATACTCCAGGTCACAGGGGGACTTAACTATTTTGTAAATTCATCTAGATTGAGAAGAACAGGGGTGAGAAGGGAGGATTTATGTCTTTGCAATCAATGGGTTCTGGAAGAATTGATGCTGGGTTTGGGCCACTTGGCAGTGACAATGGCATATCCAATAGTGGTGGTTTTGGAAGTGGTTCTGGATTCGGAATAAGCACTGAAGTGGATGTGTTCTCTAAGGCTAAAGGTTTTTTTCCTCAAATTTTAAATCTATGAAATATTCTGTATCTTGTCCTTCAAAGGTTTTGGAAATGAAAAACACTTGTTTAAATATGAAAACTGATGTTTTTTTTTTTTTCCCCCTTTTGTTCTCTTGGATAATTTCTCTGAAGCTTTTTAGTTTGATCTTGTCTTGAAACAAGAGTGAGGCAATCTTATCATCCTATTACATTACTGAAAACCATACATGGGATACTGATTTGTAAAATAGGCCATTATTCAGTAGTTATCGGAAGACTGCAAGAAACGAGAGAACTCTTTGTAGACAAAAACATACCTTTACTGTGTGGTGATCTCAGATTGCTGAATTTTGGGTTTGTGTTTGTGTTCCAGTTATATATTCTTTATTTTTTTATTTTTTTTATTTTTTTTATTGTAGTGATGGTTTTGAGAAACCAATTATCCTTTTTTTTTTTTATTTCGAATTCTATGATTAGGTCGTCCACCAGCATCTGCTTCAGCTCCGCCAAAAGGTCTTGGTATGCAGTTAGGGAAAACCCAAAGAACTAACCAATTTTTGGAGTCTCTCAAAGCTGAAGGTGAAATGATCGTTGAAGATGTGAGGCCTAGTATTGGTCACTCCAGTGCTGCTGCTCCACCACCAACTGATCCTGTTACGTTGACTGTTGAGGAGAAGCTTAATGTGACATTGAAGCAGGACGGTGGTATTGGTAACTTTGATTTACAGGGTATTTTGTCACTTCAAATCCTTAACCAAGATGATGGACACATCCAAGTTCAGGTTTTCCAACTTTTCTCCTGCACTTTATGAAAATATGATTTGCATCTGTATCAAGTTTAATTTCAAAGCCCCTCAGTTTCGATTTATGTTCATGGAATATATTTGATAGATTTAGTTTACGATGTGTTTTTCCAGATTGAAACTAGTGGGAATCCAGGAATAATATATAAAACACATCCCAATATTAACAAGGAATTGTTCTCTGGTGAGAATCTCTTGGGTCCCAAGGATCCGAATCGCCCGTTTCCTGCTGGCCAGTCTGGTGATGGCCTTCCTTTGTTGAAGTGGAGAATGCAAAGTGCAGATGAGTCACTTGTGCCATTGTCAAGTGAGCTTTACTTTTGTCCTACCGCTACACTAAAATTGACAAGTTTTTTTTTTTTTTTGTTACATAAATAAGTTTTTACCTTTTTTTTTCCATGTTTTAGTTAATTGCTGGCCTTCTGTTTCCGGAAATGAGACCTATGTGAATTTGGAGTACGAAGCTCCACCTATGTTTGATCTTCAAAATGTTGTGATTTCAATTCCTCTTCCTGCTCTTAGAGAGGCGCCAAGAGTACAGCAGATTGATGGGGAGTGGAGGTGAGGGTTCGTCTTAGCATTTTGTATTTACTGTTTGTTAGAAACACTTTATAATGATAGCTAGGTAGGGTTTTATTTCTGGGTATGTCTGAAATATCTTTATCTAATTTAATGTGACGATGACTGATGTTTGGAGTATTGAACTGGCATTCCACATTGCTTTTGTTTCAAAAATAATTTCTACATCTCTGATGTGCGTGGTGTTGTTTTGAACACAATAGCTCGGATAGGATTCATTTGATTGAGCGGTTAGTTTGGTTGTGATTTGATATAAAGGTGGGTTCACGAACTATTTGTTACTTGGAGGTGATCGTGCAAGGGATTTGTATGAGAAAAATGTCTGTTATTTATAAAATCAATAATTCGTACTGCTTCTTAGGGTGGGAGTAAAAAGGTAAGTTGATTGTTTTATAGATTAAACTAGGTTAGTGAAGATGTTAATATGGTTTAATTGATTATGAACCACAAATTCAATATGTAGCTGTGATATGTAGTTGTGAGATCTTTGCATGATATGCACTTGTAATCATATTACTTGATGCTTCTTGACTCATTATCTAATGATTATTAATAATCCCCGCTCATAATTTTCAATTACATTTTATAGGTATGATTCCAGGAAGTCAATATTGGAATGGTCTATTGTACTGATTGATAACTCAAATCGCAGGTTGGTGCTAAGAAATCAAAACTTAATCTCAGGATTTATTTCAGTTCAATTTTTTTTCATATAATATATATTTTAAAATCCTTGCAGTGGTTCAATGGAGTTTGTTATTCCTGCTATAGACCCATCTGATCTTTTCCCAATATCCGTGCGCTTCACTTCTACCAGCACTTTTAGTGGCCTAAAGGTTCTCTTTCTGTTTTCTTCTTTAGAATGCCATGATAGTTTAGATTCTTGTAAATGCTTTTGACAAATGTATTTGCAGGTGGCTAATATTGTCCCACTGAAAGGAGGTAACCCACCCAAGTTTTCTCAGAGGACGCTGCTATCTGCTGAGAACTACCAAGTTGTTTGATTGTGGTTGTTATAATTTTGGATGGCCTTTTTTTTTTTATTTTTATTTTTTTTGCTTATGTTGTTAAATTGTTGAATATGAAGGTATGAGATTAATCCTGGAATAATTCTAGTTTGGGGACGGGAAAACTAGCCTTGAGGATTTGAGATTACGTTGTGGTTGTTCGTATGCGATGAATTTAACGTGTTTATGAAAAAGTATAAAATATATTCACAAACAAGACATGTTTACTGCATTGCATATTCCTACTCTTTGAAGTTTGTTTAGTAGGTGAATTTTGGAAAAAAATTGAGGGTAGAAGAGATAATTTTTAGGTATTGTATACTATTGATAGAATGATTATAAAGAGTGATTGATTGTGGAAAAATACTGACCTAACAAAAGCTAAGATTGTTATTTGACTATAGCTTAATTTGGTAAAAGCTTAACAGAAGCTAATATAATCACTACACTTCTTTTGTATTCGAATTCAATCAAATTCGAATCACAATCAATNAAAAAAAAAAAAATGATTATATTACAGTCTCTTTTTGGTACAAAGGAAGGAGGCAAAAGCCTAAAACCGTTAAAACAATTATATTACAGCCTTAAGTTAAGTACTACAGTTTCTTTTATGAATTTTGAAACACGATAAAAGTTTATTTTCTAAAGGGTTATAAAGGAAGAGGTATTGCAATAAAAATTATGCTATTCTCAATATTACATTTTAAAAAGGAGATAAAGGGTCACTATGATATGATAATGAATGAGAACTTCCAAAAGNGGAAAATTAAATTTAACGAAGCATAAAAGCAAGAGCAATTAACAAAGAGCCAAGTCATAACAACAATAAAAATAGTTTTTCTTTTTCACATTATTATATGTGAAGACATTGCAATAGAAAATTAGACTATTCTAAATATTATGTACTAATTTAAAAAATACAAATGAAATATTTCATGACAATGACGAATAAAAAGTAAACAAATTTATATATGAAAACTTAATCAACAAAAACAAATAAAGAGGAAAAAAGCCATGATATAAAAAGATGAAAATTAACATTATTTAAAAGATGAACATCGAAATGAAAGATTTATTTTTTAAAAAATAGTATATTTTTGTTTGAATAATTAACATTATGAATAATTTTGTTTGACTAAAAAAATGAGTTAAAGAGGAAAAAAATATTTTTGATAGAAAAATAGTATATTTTTAAAATTTTGAATGACTATAAGGTAAATATAATAATTAAAATTGATGCGATAAAAAATTAAAATAACAAATACAAATGATTGATAATTAAAAGTATACTAGTACAATAAATACCCGTGTACTGCACAGGTACTTGTTAAGAAAACTATTTGTAATATTAAATAATAATAACAACAACAATTGTTTAAAATTATATATGTATTTGTTAGGCTAATTTGACGTTTTCATGGAAATTAATGAGCCGATTGATAGTTTCCAAAACAAATCAAGGTTATATTAGTCAATCAATATTATTACGACAATATCAAAGGTTCCAATCTATACTTATATTAAAGGGGGTACTATTTACTAAATGTAGTATGTAGAATAGTCAATCGTAATTAATGATTTGCTATTTTTATCAATCATTTAATTAATACATCTAATATTTTTGGTATGCAAATCAAATTAGTATTTAATTAGTTCCTAAAATATTGGGTATGCAATATTAATTTAGGAATATCTATGTAGTTCCTAAAATGTAGGTATGCAATACGTAAATGAAGATTTTTTATTTTTTTTTAAATATAAAATATTGCAACACTTACAACTATTTCAGTTATTTTTTTATTTTATTTTACATATAAAATTTAATCAATATTTAATGCATCCTACAAAATTGGATTTAGTTTAATTCTCCATACAATTGGTTGTAACTTTTTCAGTTGTAATTTATTTATTTATTTATTTTACACTTTTAAATTAATGAAGCTCTCCGAAAACACCAAATCAAATGATTTATGAAAGTTTTTTTTTTTACAATTTTAAATCTATATACCCAGCTTAAAAAATTCATCGCATGGACGAGTTTAAGAAAATTTCATAACCCAGCTTATAAAATTCCATCTCCACGAGTAAAAAAAATCACATCCCTCATCTATCGTATAAATAAAAGTCTAATTACTACTATAAATCCATTATCTATATAGATTTTTTTAAAATGTAAATTTCACCTGTCTCATTACTAATATTTTAGATACTTTTAAATATTATTTGTATAATTTTTTTTTTACACATTTGCTCTCTCTCTCTATATATATATATACATATATGAAGGTTAAATGAAGAATTTTTAGACATATTTTTCTTACGGGTAGTTTAGAAAAATTTGGGTAGCTTCAAACATTATTTGTGAATAACATAGAATATTTTAGATGCTTTTATAGATGTTATAAAATATTTTAAGTATTTTTAAATATTTTAAGTATTTTTAATATTTATATATCACACTTAAAAAGAATATTTTGTCAAAAAAAAAAAACATTAAATACACATTGTAAATGCTAATAGAAACAGTCTTCAGTATTCATCTTTGATTTTGTCATAACAAATCTTATAAAATCGGTGAAGTCAAAATTTGTACGTAAAGTCTATCTATACTAAAAAAAGGTAGATTCAAAATTCTTAATCTAATTTCTTTTTTTCCTTATCTAATTCATTCTTATTATCTAATTGTATAGAAATCTGTTTTGATTTTGTGTAATCCTCTAATTGTATTTGTATAATATCCGATAAAATCGGTTTAACAAAAAAAATCCCATAACATCCGATAAGTAAAAAAAAGTACGTAAAATCTTTATTAAAATAAAAAGGCTTTATTTATTATCTAATTTATTATCTAATTGTATGGAAATCTGTTCTGATTTTATATTACGTACTACAAATTGTGCACCCGTGTTCAGGAGCTACTTAACCGACAGGCTATGTGGAAATAACTCATTTTATTGCTTCTGTCCCGTGCATACGGTATGTATTTGTATTACACATACTAGAAAATTGTGCACCCCGTGCATCGCACGGACTCCGTACTAATAAATGACCTTAAAATTGTGCACCCCGTGCATCACTCGTGTTCACATTTTGGCCTATTACAGGTCACGTACTATATATATCCTGTACATTTTTCTTTATTCATTTATATAATTATAAAACTTGATAAATAGCCTTAATTTTGTGCACCCCGTGCATCGCAGGGGATCTGTACTAGTACAACTTAAGAGTTATATTAGTCAAACTATTATGAAATTACCAAGTTAGTTTTTCAATATTTTTGGAACGTCCGAACCTAAAATTATTGATTTAGAATAAAGCGTGTGAAACTGCCACTTAGGCTCAGCGCATTCTGCAATTATATATAGGGGATGAGTAAATAAATAATAAATTTTATTTAAATAAATTTTTTAGGTATTGATATTTAACATCTAATAATTGTATAACTAAACCTTGAATAGAAAAAAACTCGAAATTAAATGCGGATGAATATTGACTTTTTTTTCTGAAACTAATGTATATCCAATAAATCCAGTGAAAAAAGTATTAAGACAAAATTAGAAAAAAAAATTATATTCAATGTACTACTGTATTTTATTAAAAACTTTAACATAAACAATTATATTTTATTAATCTGTGTTAATATTATCACAATTCTTATTTTATGGGACGGACGGGAGTAATAATAGTATTGAATGTGATTGACGATATAAGGGTTGCCTGCCCCCACTCGCCAGCCATGAATGGACTACTGCGTGGGCCCAATTTCGAAGGATGTAACTTTTCCACTATAAATCCTCCAAAGATTTTTATACTATTTAATAAAGTTGCATAAAATCGAAGCTGAAATTCTACTGATTCGGCACCTGCAAGAGTCTCTATGATTTGCTACTATTCACTTTCTTTCTCCATTTTTCTATCTCTCTCTCTTCTTCCTCCCATTTGCATGTTTGGAGCCTCTCCACAATTTTTATGTTTTTTCTTAACATTCAAACACTGCCTTTCTAATTTCTCGGAATGTTTTACGATTCCTGAGCGCTGCTGAAACCTGGGTTTTGTTCTCGCTACATTTTCGGATTTTTAACGTTTTCTAGCGTCCTTTGTTTTCTGCTTGAAAAAATCTCAAAACTAGATACAGTAAAAAGACAAAACTTTTGGTGGGGATTCATCGAGAAATAAAAGAAACCCAGAAAAGCAACAATCT